TTTTAAAAAGGTGCAGGCAAAAGAAAGATGGGGAGGTTTTTTTAAAAATATTATATATTTTTTACAATAAATAGAATTGTCTCTGAAGCAGAATTCTTGCTCTCAAAAGCCAAAATCAACTCTAAAATATTTGGTTTAATTCTTACAGAGGCAACAAGGGTACTTATTATTTTGACAGCAAGAGATAAACAATAGTTTAATACTCCATAGTTTGAGAAGATCAAATTTAACAAAACAACAATAAACTAAAATATATACACATCACCCTTCTGGCTCCCAAGGCTGAAAAAAAAAGAACTCTGAAAAATGGGAACACAAATTGACCCTTACAGCCAAAAGGTATTGAGAACAATACGCTGTCCAACAGAAATGACAAAGCTTCAGGAATGCACAATCTAACGTTTGTAATGTCTAGAATAACACCCAGATGTTGTACTGTAAAAAGGAACAATTCTTACAGTTTCCTCATGAGGGTAGCAGCTTCCAGAATGCGATAATAAAAACATTATACTCTCACAACCTGACACATTACCACAGCAGGACTGGCAGAGGAAATCAATCAATCAATCAATCAATCTGTCAGTCAGTCAGTCAGTCAGTCAGTCAGTCAGTCAGTCAGTCAGTCAGTCAGTCTGTCTGTCTGTCTGTCTGTCTGTCTGTCTGTCTGTCTGTCTGTCTGTCTGTCTGTCTATCTATCTATCTATCTATCTATCTATCTATCTATCTATCTATCTATCTATCTATCTATCTATCTATCGGCTGTTTTTTTTAAAAATGAATGTTTACTTCATTAAATGTTTTTATCTTTACTTGAGAAGAAAGATCTCATAAAGCCATTGTAAGAAAACAAGAGTTCCACTCCCCTTTCTAGCTTAACATTCCTCAAATCTTTGCTATTTTCCTTTTAAAAAAAATCTGTGCCATGATTTTATTTAAAAAATACACCTCACAAAAATTACATTCCATAACTATACTATTTTTCCTCATCAAAACGCATATTGCAGTATCAGGAATTAATTCTCTTTCCCCCTATGTATCAAAGGTGAAAGAGAAATAAGTGTACAAAAAAACACAAATAACTTCTTTAGAACATTCACAAAAGCTGGTGTTAAATGAGTGGGTTCAACTGGGAGCAAAGAGTGAGGGTGAGAGAAAGAGATGGCTAAACAGTTGTAGGTTGAGAATTAAGATTTTTTTTTTACTTTAACAGGCCTCCACTACACTTGGGTTCCACAATAAAAGGCTTGTCCACACTGTGGCTTTGTCTCCACTCCTTCTGGTGTTGCCATGAATCATTCTGGGTTTGTTTGTTTGTTTGAGATTTAAATAGATGATCCCAATACTGCATAGGGAGGGCGTTTGTGGCTGCATGTACTGAGATACAGCCGGTCTTCCCAGTGCCACCTGTCCACACACATCCAGAATTGCTCCCTGAGGTCTCGCTCCCACCATATATATATTGCCATCTCCTTTTGCCTCTCATTTCTGCCCTCCCCTTTCCTGGTTTTTACCTGCTCACAACTACAAACTTTCATGTTTATTTTCAAACCTTCACATTTCTGTTTAATTAAAAAAAACTTTTAGTTTTCACTTTTGTGCCATGCTGTACAAGTCGTAACATTTATTAAAGAAAAAAATCAGAAAGTAAAAATAACTAATAGTCAAGAAGACTAAGCAGGACCAGCAGTTAGACATGGAGGAGTGGAAACTTACCAGCAGAAAAACGCCATAAGGAAACATCATCAAATGATACACATACACAGTGTATGGATCAGCACACATCAACACAATACTGGCATCCACACAAACAAATCCTGCACTAGAGCTAATCTGAGCAAAATAGAACAAAAATACACCATATCACAGTGGTTGTATTAAAAAACACAAACCCAGAGGACCCCGTTAAAACTAGTTTCAACTTTGTATTGTGTACACACTTGGCTGCAGTATTGATATCATGGATGCAAGGAATATTAAACAACTGCACAATGTGGACGGGCCCAAACTTAAATGTAGGCAGTATCATTGTTTTAAAATTTCTGTACAAAGCACACAGTACAGGCAGTAATAATAACAGAAGTTCAACTTTGAAAGAACCAGGCATTCTGCTATTTATCAGCACTTCCTGTAAAGCAGAGCAACCAGACTATGAGAAGGACTCAAGAAAGATTGTGCAGGTGTCTCTGTCTGAGGACCATCACTCCTGGTGTTTCTTGTCCTTGGCATTACCTCAGTTCTTCTCACTGAGGTCAGTCACAGATTCGGTCTCCTACAGTTCTTTCACTTCACTTTATATCCTGATTCACCACAATCAAAGGGTAAACACTGAGGTCAGCTTAAACAAAATCCTTGCACTCGGCTACAGGTATGCAGCTACAACTGTTTGTCACACAATTATTTGTCATAAAGGGATTTTAAAGAGTTGCAGAATGCCCTCCCTGCAAATGAAAAGAAGCTATCCTTTCTTCCAGCTGCAAATCAAAATACATCTGGCAAGATGGATTTACAAGTTTATTATATGTATTATCTAGATGGAAGGATGATAATGAAGAGCAGGTGAAGATGAAAAGAAAACGGTGTGCTTGCTTCTTGTGTTCACATGTGCATATTTATGTTCATGTATCCAAGGGTCACCTTGTCTCACTCCCCCAATGGCAGTGTATCGTTTAGGCACCAGAAAGAGAGGGCATAAGTTACCCTGTGACAATCCTTTTTCGAAGGATCAAGCAGCTACTCTGGAAAAGCCTGGCAAAAGGTACTGCATTATGGTTGAGATCATGGACAGCTGCTGCCAGCCAGAGCAGACAGTGATGAGCTAGATGGACAAAAGTCAGGTGCCTTATGGTGTGTAAAGCACCTCCTGGACAGTGTGAACAGGCCTAGACCCAAGGGGCCAAAAGCAAGGCTGGGTTTGCACTGGGTTTGCAGCTGACCCTGAGTTTGAAAAAGGTGTCATTCAAGTTTGGAAAAGGTATTCTCTCTGTCTTTTTGGATGATAACTCCCAGAATCCCTCAGCCAACATGAATAGCGGCCCAGCTTGGGGGGCGGGTAAGGAAATCTGGGTGCAAAAGTCAAAGAAGTAATGCTTCCACCCTCTGACTAGAGTTCATTTCCTCCAGCAGTTAACTGAAAGTTGCCAATGGTTTGAACCAAGGAAGCGAGAGCTGACCTGGCCCCTGACCTGAGGATTGGCTAAGCCCACAGATGCCTGCCTTTTGTACTCTGTCAGAAGCTGCACAACCAAAATGAGGGGCTCACCAGCCTGAACCACTTGCAACCTGTTTGCTGAACTGCCAAGGCCAACGGTTTCAGGTCACATCAGGGAATAGTTTTAGTAGCAGATGTAAAGATTCTCCCCTTTGAGTGGGTATCACACAAGGTCAGTCAGCAAATCCGGCTCTAAAAATAGATGCCCGTTTCAAAGTTGGTAAGATTTCCTTTGTCGTCCCTGTCACACTCCGAAGATCCACGCTACCTACAGCTCCCAGATAAGCCCGCAGGTAAGCCACGATGCGAGAAGCTGGACTGCCTTTCCTCAAATGCTAGCCCATTCCCTTTAAAATGCTAGAGCAGAAAACAGGGGAAAGGCACTGAGCATTTAAAAAGCCTTTCAAAGCAGCTGGTGGCTTCTTAAATCAATTTTCGAACAGAGGCAAGAGTAATATTAGATAGTCACTCCCGGGGGAATAAAATGAGGTCATTTAACATTCCAGAATGTTATATAATCAGTTCCACTTTCATCTTGTTGGCTGAACCTTTTTATACCTTTCCTTCAATTTACTGTTTCATGGAAATCTGTTTTAGAGATTCAAAACTTTTTTTGGGGGGGGGGAGAACTTATATTTGGATACCCTTTCTGCTCTCCCCACCTCCTCTGACTTTTTTTTTTAAATTATTATTACAATAAGCTTTCACTTGCATCTAACTCCATGGTTGCGCCAGAAATCAGATGGTTTGTGTCTGTCAGTCAGGAAATTCTAAGGGTTTGTGCCTGGCAATTAAAAAAAAAAACTAACCCAAACCTCACAGGTTTCACAATAACTCCTTGTTAACTCCTCAAGACTAAGCACAAAAACCTCTAGAAACAAGAATTTGAGACATTGTTGTCTTGGATAATACGAGTGAGTAGAGAAAAGGGGCAAGGAAATAGTAATTTAAGAGAGATTATATTTGATTTGTGAGGCAATTGAAATCTGCAGCAGCCCAAGACAAAGATCTTCACTATCAAGAAATGGGGAATACTTGGGAAATTTCCAGGACAGTGGACAAAATTAACTTCTTCTATTAATTAGCTACTCCAAAAATGTAAGTTCAATCAATCAAGATTCAATCTAGGAGAATTCTTAGTTACTTTAGTTTCAGCCAAAAAGCTTCCTTCAGTTTCTAGTTTCGGTGGCCATCCCTGCTCAATGAAATATGCCTTGTTATTGAGCTTTTGAAAAACATTGCACTGTTTGATCAGAACAACATTTAAAAACTGAATGTGACTCGTGTGTTCTCCTCGGATCTTAGTAAATGCCAGATAAATTTAAGAGACATGGGGCTTTTTTGGTGATGTCTAGGATTTGCAAAATATCAATGGAGGCAGGGGCAGAAGGGTTAGATTTGCAAATCTTCACAGCGCGACTGTCATGGGCTGGGTAGCTGCATCTGCTCCAACAATTCTGGCTGTCTTTTGGTTGATTATTTGGTTGCTTTAAAAATATGATCTTGCATTGATAAAAGGCTGCCTTTTCCATGAGGCAAAGTGAAGTAGCTGCCTCAGGCAGCAGATTTTTTTTAATTTCATTGAAGGGCAGCAAATAGTTATTTGTTTTGTCCTATATTGTTTCCTCTTATATTTTCACTGCTGAACATGGGGAGATAACATTTAAGTGATTTATGCCTCAAGGGCCACTCAGTCACACACCTGAGTCACTTTCTTTATCCACTGAAATCTGAAGCAGTTTTTTCTGCTTCAAAGACACTGGTAACCTGATCTACCAAATGATCTTCATAGTGCCACAGCACAGGGTTTTAACTTGGAAAATGGAAATCTCCAGCATCATTTAGCATCTAAGATTAATCATATTTTTGGAGACAACGCAACAGATCTCTTGCCTGGGTTAGCTCCTTTTCACTGCCATTTACCCATTCCTTTTGAAGCAGTGCTGAAATATAGAATACGACTGGCACTAGGTGCAAAATTTTATGAAGTGACATTGTTGATCCCAGGAAAACCATTAGAAGTGAGGCCAGCCAGCAGGCCTTTCCAAAATGGCGTGAATCTGACTGGTAGGGAAGAGAATGTCTCCTGATGTTTTAAAATTTATTTATTTATTAGATTTTCATACCACTCTTCTAGACTATGTCTACTCAGGGCAGCTCACAATAAAATTATTCATAAAACAAAACCATGAATTAAATCGACAATGCTAAGTGTCAAGAAAGAATTGGGTCCCCGGTTCCAGGGGTTCATGTCAGGGGATGTGCTCATGCTTGCAATGTTATCGGCACTGACATGCCCCTAACTTTAGCCCACAGAGATACAGAGTGGTGGGGAGCTGAACCAGCATCCCAAACCAATTCACCACATGCCCATTAGATCTGTAAGCCAGCCAATAGCCATAAGAGCATAAGAAGAGCCCTGCTGGATCAGGCCAAGGGCCCATCTAGTCCATCTTCCTGTCTCTCACAGTGGCCTCACCAGATGCCTCTGGGAGCACAGGAGACGACGAGATACCTGTCTCCTGATAGCTCTCCCCTCCATCTGGCATTTTGAGGTCCCTCTCTTTTAAGCCTGGAGATTATACATCCCCAGCATGGCTTGTAACCTGTGATGGACTTTTCCTCCAGGAATCTGTCCAATCCCCTTTAAAAGGTATCAAGGCCAGATGCCATCACCTCACTCTGTGGCAGCCAGGAATCTGTCCCATCCCCTTTTAAAGGTATCAAGGCTAGATCACATCCTGTGCCAAGGAGTTCCACAGACTAACAACACGCTGGGCAAAGACATTTTTTCTTTTGCCTGTTCTCACTCTCCCAACACTCAATTGGAGTGGATGTCCCCTGGTTCTAGTATTGCATGAGAGGGAAAAGAGCTTCTCTCTATCCACGTTTTTCATCCCCTGCATCATCTGATATGTCCCCCCTCAGGTGCCTCTTCTCTAGACTAAAGAACCGCAAACGCTGTCGTCTTTCCTCATAAGGGAGATGCCCCAGTCGAGTCATCTTTTTTAGTTGCTCTCTTCTGCACCTTTTCCAGATCCACTATGTCTTTTTTGAGGTGCAGCGACCAGAACTGTATGCAATACTCCATGTGCAGCCTTACCATCATTTTGTACAATGGCATTATAATGTTGACGGTTTTATTTTCAATCCCATTTTTAATGAAACCTAGCATGGAATTGGCTTTCTTCACTGCCGCCACACACTGGGTTGACACTTTCATTGAGCTGTCCACCAGCACACCAAGATCTCTTTCCTGATCCATCATGAACAGCTCAGAACCCATTAGCTGATAACTAAAGTTTTGAATTTTTTTTGCCCCAATGTGCATTACTTTGCATTTTCTTATATTGTAACACATTTGCCATTTTGCCGCCCATTCTCCCAGTTTGGAGAGAGCTCTTCACAATCCCTTCTGGTCTTCACCACCCAGAAAAGTTGTGTCTTCTGCAAACTTGGCCACCTCACTGCTTATCCCTGTCTCCAGGTCATTTCTGAACAGGTTGAAAAGCACCGCTCCCAGAACAGATCCCTGGGCCTCAGTGCTTTTCACGTCTCTCCATTGTGAAAATTGCCCATTGACACCTACTCTCATTTCCAGGTTCTTGTCCAATTCTCAATCCATAAGAGGACCTGCCCTTTTATCCCCTGGCTGTGGAGTTTTCTCAGCCATTGTGATATTAGCCATCTTTCAGTCTGGAGAGGGACAGGAGGCTGGTTTCCTTCAGTCATCTCTCTGTGGGCAGCTATTTTTGAGAGAGGGAGAGAACAAGACACCCATTTTCCAAAGCAAAATATTTTTTTATCACAATTAAGATCAACATCTTTTTTTGTTATTATGGTGTTTGATCAAAAAGCAGAAAGCAAACAAAAATTCAGCAGGTGCATTTGTAAGAGAATAGATGACCTGCTGGATTTCAGCCTTAAAAGCAAGACTCCAGTCAAGCTGTTCAAAGCCCTAGAGAGCCTAGACTCTTCCCTGGGGAAGAAATACTCTGCACACGTGGAACTCTCCTCTTTCCTATGATATACGCACCATAGTTCTCTTCTTCATGCTCCTGCAGAGGAAGCCGGAGAATCCTAGCTATTCGATGCCAAACTACACATTACATAAAAGGTGGTGGCTCTCACTTGCATTATTTGCCCGCCCCCAATTTAAAATCAGGCACTATGTGTAGAAAACCCAGGTCAGGACCAAGGAGTGAATTGAGAAAACATTTAGCTCTCTTTGAATCACTGTCCTCCAAATTTTTATTTCAATTAGGACCAAAACACCTGTTTGACAGTTATTTTCATGCACCCCAAGGAGCAGATCTACTACGATACATATGTTTCAGAGCCCCTAATACCAGAGGGGCCCCAGAAGCAACTTTGGTCCACATTTTAAAAGAATATTGCGATGATCAGTTATGGAACAACTACACTGAAGAAGATAACAGTGGTTACCCAGACCTTATTGCTGGTTGCAAAGGGCCCTCCATAAGAGTTCAAGCTTCAAGGCCTCAAAATATTCTGTTTTAAATAGCAGGAATTGGCCAATGATATCATTCCTGTTGTGCAGCCAAAGCAGTGCAACAAGATTCTGGTCAAAGGTCAATAATGTTTTATTTATCCATGTAATTTACCTATTTTCCCCCTCCCAATATTTCATACCTTATTCTGCAACAGGTCAAACTGCTAGCTAGCTTCCCGCTAGTGTGCCCTGTTGCAAAATTCCTTCTGATTCGTTTAAATGTCATATTTACATTTGATCGGCTACTATCTTCTGTCCTTTGACAGCAGCTGTGACTATGCTGTTTAACCATGCTGGCAACATCTTTTCATGTTTGCTGCCATTCTGATTGGCAGCATCTTCTATACAAAATAAGCTTCTTAAAGGAATTTGTCTGCCTGGACTCAGTCTTGCAAATTTTTTTAAATAACCTTCAAGCACTCAAAAGTCTTCTCTTCTGAAATTGAATGGGCTCTACTTGAACTTTCTGAGCAATCTACCATTCATGTATATATTGGAGGGAATCCTTTACCCTTGAGAGTTTTTTTTTTTTTAAATGACAACTCCTTGATCCATTACCATGGATCACACTGGCTGGGTCTTCTGGCATTTGAAGCTCAGCCCTTCATCTTGGACATATATGTTGTATCCAATATCATACACTATTCCTGAGAGATCTGGCAACCCTCATATTTTTCGCCAGATCCTGGGTACCATTCAGTACTAAATCAAAGGCTGTCTCCTTTCTTGTCAGCATCATAAATAATTAATTGAAAGCATAACAGTTTACGATGACCAGCCATGTCCATTTGGCATAACTTCAAGATACATTTAGCCAGCCAATTTGAGGATAGTTAAACTCATCTATCAGTACAGAATTTTGCCCCTGGCTCCTCTCTGATGTCTTTCTGCATCTCTAGGTCAGCAACATTTTGTTTCCATCATTTTATTAATACTTCGGTATGGTATTTTTAACCATAATGATTCTTGGACTAAATTTCTTCCTTTTATGGTAGTTAGTTTATTGCAGTCTCTTGCGGTCTTGATATATGGGCAACTACATTTCCAATACTGCCCGTCTGATAAATTTTAAGTCTAGAAGTATCTCCTTTTCTGCCAGCAGGCCTCCAATAAAAAGCTCCATGGTCTGTATACAAATACCAGACACTATTTCATTCGTTTTGGCTTTCAGTCTTCTAGCATTACTGTAATAAAAACAACACACACATTATGTTAGCCTTCTTGAAATGTTTACAGGGCGTGTCATTTTTCCTGCAACACTACAGGGTTTTTTACTGTCTGCCATTAGTTTCCATATGCTCATTGTCAACATCTATCCTTTCCTCAGTTTATGGCCTGCATTTATATACTACCTTTCTGCCAAGACACTCGAGGCAATTAAGCACTAATGGCAGTTCAGAACATTTTAGATCATCATCCCAAGTGGATGAGTCATCCTGAACTGGACACTGTTCAGCTCCTGTTCAGCTCTTCTCAAGTAATTTAAGAGCTGCTTAATAATCTTTATTACCACCATCATCATTTTTAAAAGGACTTGTAATGTGGTTCCATTACAGGAGTTAGGAGTACAATCCACCAGGTGGTTAGTTTATGCCAGGCCCCGGTGTCTGTGCGATCATGGTAGGGGCAGCTCTTCAAACTTTATTGGACCACAACCTCTGTTCCTCTTAGCGGAATAGCCAGTTATTAGGGATGATGGAATTGCAGGCCCGCAACATCTGGAAGGACACACACTCCCCATTCTCAAATTATCACCAGTCCTGCACTATCACTTAAAAAAACAAACACCACATTCCTTACCTTCTGGCTTCCCCAATCAAGGATTTTCTGTGTTAGAAAATTCCCAGGTCCTCAAGCTGAACCATAGCTAGACGCTGCGGCCAAGGTCTGAGGAGACACTGCCCCTGCTTTTAATCTGAGAAACCCTGTTTATTCCACACTAACTAGTGGAGGGCATAGCCAAGTTCTTTCTTTGGAGAAGCTTAATAAATAGGCAAAGTCTTCCCCTTATATCTGAGTGTTTGAAAATACTGGGCCCACGAGAAGGTAATATGGCATAATATTATTTTTAAAATATGTATGGTGTAGAAATATATCGTGTGGTTCATCTTCAGCCAGTTTAACTGCCTTATGGTGAACATTCTGTGAACAAGCAACAGACGCCATTCAAATCTTTTGGCAAAACTACATACCGTGTTTCCCCGAAAATAAGACAGGGTCTTATATTAATTTTTGCTCCAAAAAACTCACTAGGCCTTATTTTCAGGAGATTTTTTTAATCATGTACCACAATCTACATTTATTCCAATACAGTCCTGTCATCTTCTTCTGGTTGCTGCATAGTGGTGGAGGGCAGGGTTTCACTTATTTGGGGCTTATTTTTGGGGTAGGGCTTATATTATGAGCATCCTGAAAAATCATACTAGGGCTTATTTTCAGATTAGGTCTTATTTTTAGGGAAACAGGTTATTAATGAGGGATGTTTATTAAGTCCTCTTCAGGAAAGTTGTTTTAGTTCAGGCAGGGGGAGTAAATACAGGCTTATACAGTATTGGTCCAAGTATTTTGCCAGGAGCATTTTCTTACTCTAGCAATGACACCTTGCCTGGGAAAGAGGTTACATTTTCCCCACAACACCAAATAATAAAATATTACACCATTTTCTATTTAATCAATCATAAAGGCCTTGTAAAGTTTGACAAATGCTGTTTCATAATTAATCCACAACCACGAGGACCAGTGGAAAACAAATATGTAATAAGGTCAGAAAACCACCATATCAGAGAAAAATAAATTGAATGGATGTTTCCCCTCAATATTTCTTTCCTTTTCGTTTCTCTAAAACCAAAGCTTCAGCTTCTTTGGTTTCCTGGAGGAAGGAAAGGATATAGATACATGAAAGAGGGCAATGCTGAACATATACTCTTTCCATGTTTCCATGACAACAAATATTTTAAAGGGATCAAAATATTTCCAAAACAAAACAATATTTTTCCCCATTTTCTTTAAAGGTCCACAACTACAGATTACCTCACCCACTGTTGCTTTGGTGATATTGTTTTTTCCCTCAGATGCGCATCTCTCTCCTTCATGATGGCCTGGTTCTCATAAGGAGGAGGGTCATGCTCCTGCTTGCAACAGACAATCAAACATTCCCTGTGCAGAGAGGCTATATGTTAAGGGAAAAGTAATGCTTGTAGTTTAGCTTTCTTCTTGCCAAGACTGTTATCATTCAGTTTTATATCCCAATAAGAAATGAAAAACATCAATTTCCCTATTCATGTCTTTTCCTGGTTATACAGTAGTTAGTAAATCTGGTGTAAAGTGCAAGAGATAAAACTTCCACTATTTACAAGAAATAGGACTGTCTGGACCCCAGAGAGAAACCATATAGCACACATATGTGTCACAGTGCTTCACAGACAGATTTGGCCATATAATGACAGCCTTCAGGGAGAACAAAGCCATATCGTTCAAAATGTGATTAGTTAAGCACGACATTTTGAAGAAATCTGTTGCCTGATATGATGACATGTCACAACCTTTTAACTGTGAAACTCTGGTATCCCATATAATTTGACTGTGATTAAAGGAAATGCTTCCTAGTACAACATTGCCCTTTTTCAAAACAGGTAAGCATTTTAAACTTCTTTTAAAACAGCCCATGCCCCCAAGTCATCCAAAGAGAGATGTTTTTTAACCATAGCAAAATAAAATAAAATAAATTCCTCCTCACAAACTCACTTTAAAAAAAAAGAAGAAGAATCAGAATCAGCTGTAGACCTGTCCCCGAGTAATACAGGCACAGTAATACATTTGGGAAGAAAACTTTGGCTGGATTCTTTTCTCTCACAATGCCTTCTGGTTATCATTCTGTCACAGGATATTTTCTGTTTTTTCATCTGTCAAACATAGACTCTTGAGACCAGATGTCTTCCACTGCCCTGAAAACAGGGAAGATAAGTGCGTACACGGCCGTCAAAGTAGACCCTGATGGGGATTACTGTACTCCTGGAGCATTTGACCTGGAGAGGCTCTTTTGGAAAGGCAGCCCGAAATATACGCATGTCAATGAAGTCTGGCCCAACCTCTACATAGGAGATGAGTAAGTGATGTAAACCCTTCCACAGTACAAAAGCAGCCTCCATCCCCCAATGACCATGAAGGCTGTCATGCTTGTTATAACTGAATCACAGCAAGATGCGTTTCTGACATCATAACCTTTTTCGGCTATGCTGTGTAGATGTAAGGGAGCATATTATTTGTCAGGGCAGTAGTCTCTCTCTCTCTCTCTCTCTCTCTCTCTCACACACACACACACACACACACACACACACACTTGCATTCACATAAAGTAGCATTGTTTGAAATCCTTATATTCACTCACCTTAGTTGCTGTTCTGAAAGTGGAGAGAATGGTGGAGAAGCAAGGGCCGGGGAACTGATTAAAAAACCGAGTGGAGGAATTGACAAACTATACGGTATGTCATACAAGAGCTCTTTCTTTACTAGAGTGCATTCTTATTTCCTGGCACTTAATGGTTATAAAATGGAACCATCTTGGAGGAATATGAGCACGCACACACACACACATATAGTGCAGTTTTTGGAAATCATTAGTGATGCCTTGTAAGTGTGTAGCAGCTGAATACCAGAGTTACTCTTTCGGCTCCCACATATTACCGTAACTTTCTCTATGCTCAGTCTCTGAAGATGAGCATATAGGGGTGTTTTTTGAGCATGCTGCCCGGATGTGGTGAGGCTGTGATCTCTCCATGGCAAGAGAATGGGATGCAGTAAGTGCTCCGGTGGTGTCCCTGTTCCACCTTTACTGCATTGGAAAAAATATCCTGAGATAGCAGAAGGCCAAGAGCTGCCTTTTTGGGCATAGGCCTCCAGGGATACAGAGGCTAGTACAAGAGCAGGACTGACAACGTCCCTTCCTCCATCATATATCTCAAACCATATGGCTGAGGAAGAGGTATTGGGGCATGGTGTCTATAGCAAGAGTGAGGATCAGACTCAGCTGCAGATTTGGAGAAGATGGTAGCACTGGACAACTTGCCCTCAGAGGAGATAGCAGCTTTCAATACGCTGGTGGAGAATGGAACAGAACTGAAAGAGAGAACAAAGGGATCCCTCCTCATTCGTTCACTATGGGAACATCAAAATCATTAAACAGTTAAATCAATAATATAGTGTTCAAGATGGGGAATAATAAACAAAGAATTAGAATTCAAGAATTGACAGAAGGGAAGGCCTGGCTACAGAGCCAAGTCTTTAAATGGCTCTTAAAAACACCCAGCGAGGGTGCCAGGCGGATCTCTGTTGGAAGGCTGTTCCATCGTCAAGGGGCCACTGCCGACAAGGCCCGGTTTCTTGTTCTTTCTTTCCGAGCCTCTCTCGGCGTTAGGCCCCTCAACCATCCCTCCTGGCTATGCCGAGTAATTCGGGTAGATCTAGAATAGCATTGTCACACAGGTCCATCCTGGGCCATGATTGCCCTTCCACCGCACTGCCTGCCCTGCTGCCCCCAGTGACAGGGAGCTAGGTGACAGTGGCATTGATGGCCACTGGGGCCCAACAGTAGGGTGCACCAGTTCCAGTATATGTCAACTCTGCAGAGAACCCTGCTCTTCTAAACACTTTCTATGATGCATATTTTCTTTATGTTTTCCTCTCTCTTTCTCTCTCTCCACAACCTCCCTGCCTAAAGCACCATCTCCCAGATACCTTACTCACTGGTTCTCTGCCTGCTGGCTTTCTGTGGCATGAATAATTCTGCCCGACACTGTTCTACCACCAGTTCTCCCTTTGATGACTTCTTTCCCAAATACTGAGTTTCAGCTACTGTTGCGAATGAATGAATGAATGAATGAATGAATGAATGAATGAATGAATGAAGATTAGTATTTGACAAGGGATGGGAAGCGGCTGAGTAAGGATGCTGCAGCAGGAAAGTGACTCACATTTCTCTTTTTAGACATCCAAGGTTCCTTGGGTATCCAGCATATACTTGTAAGGTGGATGGTGGCACATGGCAGGCTCCACCACAGCTGCTCCTGCTCACATTATCTAAGGGTGTGCATGCACAGCTATACTGCAGACATGCAAGGGAGCACACTGAAAAAAGGACTGGAGATTAATATCCTCCTCTTCCATTGTGTGTGCATTCATTAACACCCAAGCAGGCTTTAGTTCTACTCTTAGAATCATCAGTAATTTCAGGACTGGGTATACTCCATAACAGCAAACATACACTGCAGTAACTGATATAGAACTCGGAATCCTTGGTTTCAAGTTTCTAGCTGTGGTGGTGGTAAAAGCTAGACTTAAAACTACTGTAGCCAGTTTCTGACAAGCTTAGAAGCACCAGAGTAACTATTTCCTGACATCCCCCTCCTGAACTACTGGAAGTGGTAGGGATTGTGCAAAAGTAAACCTGCATCTGGTTGCATTTAGACATGTCTTAGAATTCTGCACTTATTGGCAGAATGTTCTAAGAGCAGCTCTGAATGTTCCTCTCTCTCCCAGGAGCCTTGCCACTTTTCTTCTAGCAGTTGGTCCCCATAAAGCCCTGTGAGCAAGCAGGAAATGTGATCCTTACACACAAGCAAGCTAAATTCAGCCAAGCTTAGCTCACCGTGGTAGAGTTCATGACAAATCCAGTGGGCTGGGAAGGACGTATCCAACCTGCCAACAGCTGGGACAGCTCTACCTTATGCAAACACCATTTGCTTGGCCTGTTTTATTCATAAAAACATTTATATCCTGCCTTTTGATTTACCCGGAATGCCCTGGCAGCACAAAAATTAAAACACCACAGGACATTTAACAACAATGATGACGGGAGTGCAGAACAGCAATCAAAAAACTTATATCCAAGACCAAATAAAAAACCAACCACGAAGCAAAAATTAAACAACAGAATAGCAGCACAACAGGAATCTTCCCTTCTCACAAATATAATACTGACTTTGTCAGATATCTAAAAACTATCATGGAAGAAGGAAAACAAATCCATCATTATCACTAGAAAGCAGGCTATTGAACAGTGCCTGCAGAGGCAGGAGCAAACTACTGTACACACAGATGCATGTGATGATGAAGCCCTGCTGTTATAAAGAAGAGCAATTTGCAAACACTGTGATTTTTTTATCAGAGGAGTTTTCAGTGGAGGAGCAAAAGTAATATAGGGACTTACAGGAAGAAAAGACTCCTTGGGTGATAGCTGAGTCTGAGTGGACAAATATGGGGCGGGGTGGGGGGGTCTTTGCATGGCTTGCCTCAATATTACAGCTTTTTAAAGCTGCTCAATATTAAAAAGAAAAATACAAAATATCTTGCATGCATAGCAGGGAGATATATAACTTGCCCTTCATTCCTTCTGTAACCGGACCCTGTTGCAGATATTTCTTAGAAGAAATTAAAATGTCACGAGCATTTTAAAACAGAGAATAAACAAGACTTCAGGTTCAGTCTTTTCCTGGTGAGATATAGAAACATAAAGCCAGAAATGGGCAATGGGTGTGAAAAGGTAGAAAAATTAAAAATCATAATGTAGGGCTTCTGTGGTTTAAACAGATACAAGAACTAGAAGGCACATTCCAGCCATAGATACTTATTATAAAAAAAGCTTTGTAACTGTTTTGATTCAAATTTTATCTCCTTCGTGTTAAAATTTAACATGCTAAATGGAGGACTCGGGATCATGGATTTTGTTATTACATGATGAACAGGACCAGAGGTGGCATGGCCAGAAGGCAACCTTGGGCTGATGCCTAACTTGCTGGTTTTCAAGCAAAAAGCTCTTCTGCTGCAGCAGACTGTGCCAAGAGCTTCCTCTTCCTAACAAGGGTGTCTGGTACTCGTAAACTCTGAGAGCTGAACAAAAGTGCTGGAGGTCTGCTATATTTCCGAGGAGTTAAGGGACAAAACAGTCTTCAAGTGGCAGCAAAATAGGGTGCACAACAGACCTTCTCACAATGATTCCACTGGATGTGAACAAGCACTAGGGCAAACATAGGGTCGCTAGAGGAGTACTGTAACCTGTTGGGGTTTGCACTTGGAAGGAGAAAGGAGAAGGTTAAGAGACAGTGAACGGTTATGCATATGGAAACCTAGATAGCCATCTGTCAGAAATATGCTAACTTGGATTCCTGCACTGAGCAGGGGCTTGAACTCAATGGCCTTAGAGGTACCTTCCAACTCCATTCTTCTGTGATTCTAGCCTGATTGATCAAGTGAGGGATTAATACTTGAAAGCCATACTGGATGAGACCCAGAATCCTCTAACTCAACACTCTTTTTGCATGGTGGCCATCCATATTCCTCAAATAGGACATTAAAAGCTCCTGTTGCCAACTCTGCTTCCACCCGACCACGGCCTGCCTCTATTTTGCTATTATGGTAGCTTTCATAGGCTTGTCCTCCGTTAATTAACAAATTAATTAGGTATGGGATATGATTGCTGCCATCACCACAGAGTGTTCTCACATTGCACAAAATTGTGTCCTGTGAATTTAGAGGCAATTTAAATTTAGTGATTCTCATGTTCTGATTTAAATGAGAAAAAAATGGAAACAATTCTTAATCCACACCCTCCTCCCCAGTTCTCTAATTCTCAAAAAGTTGTTATAGCTAATATTTTGCCTAAATCTGTTAAACCCAATCTTGAAGAGCCCACATTCTCTTTTGCCAATAGCAGACAGTCAGTGAGTTTAGGGATATAAATATTTAAGCTCTGAAGCACAACTTGGAAAGGATTCAGGCTCTGATTTAGAGAACAGGAAGCTATTGAAATTCTGAATAGGCACACAACATTTCCTTCCCCGGAATTTTGGGATATTCCTAGAACTATCAGTTTCCCCATCATTACTCGTTTAGATTAAGCCTGATGCTAAGCCCCTGCTACGTTAGCAGACTCTGAATGTGTTAGGTCCTCTCTTCTGCCTCTGTATCACACAGTGGCTCTAGCCACCATATTGTTACCTTTGATAACTGCTTTCCATGTCTTCTGCTGCATAGACGTGCATGGTAGGGACTATGCTATTTTTATTTTTGGCAGCCTCTTTATTACAGCTATAATTCACTGATGTTGCCACTTTCTGAAAGTCTGAAGTCTCCATCTGTGCCCTTCCCCAAATGAACAGTGTACAACAGCAATCATGGGGTGAAAATTGTGTCTTCCTATTCCCCACCCATGGTAGAACTACCGTATTTTTCTGTGTATAAGACCCCCATGTATAAGACGACTCCCAATTTTCTAACCCAAAATTCAGAAATCAATATTTTAAACATTAGATAGGAACACATTTTTATTTAGTAATCAGGCAATATTTACATGCGAGTATTTTTATTTATTTTTCTAATTTTCTGACATCTTTATGGGCTCAGAATGCTCCAACATTACCAGTCACTGTCGCATCCATGCACTGCCTACACGTTCTCCTCCGCTTCAGCTGATGTCAGTTACATAAGGCTCATGATGGGGAAGCCTGTTTGCAAATACAAGCTATTGGCAGTTTCGCTCATGAGTGGAGGCAGACTGGCTTGCGAAGACATAGGCAGTTTTGCAACTGTGCAGTTTTCTCCTTGGCTTACTTCTGTGTATAAGACGTCCCTCCATTTTTAATCTAACAATTTTAGGAAAGAGTAGCATCTTATATACGGAAAAATGCACTAGTTAAAATATATCTGATATTGGAGTGAGTTTCCAGGATAATTTTTGAGACAATGCACCAATACATGGGGGAACAGGGTGGGGAGAGATTTGTGAGAATCAGACTTGTATAACAACTCTGTCTCCTTTGTGAATAATTGTGTTTTCTTTATATTCTGGTGGAACCGGATGAGAGCATTTGGTCTGCTTTCTTCAAGGAAGCTGCGGTTTTGTGTTGCTCTTGACAGTTTGCTTTGTTATTTATATGATTTCTTTCTTATTTTCCCTTACCTTAGGTTGTTCAGTAAAGATAAAATCAGATTGCTAGTCCTCCAAAGTATGCAAATAGTGTTCATCCCTAACACTGATGTATAAATCAAAAATTTGTTGTTGTTTAGTCGTTATGTTCTTTGTGACCCCATGGACCACAGCATGCCAGGCCCTCCTGTCTTCCACAGCCTCTCAGAGTTTGGTCAAATTCATGTTGGTAGCTTCGGCGGCACTGTTCAACCATCTCATCCTCTGTCATCCCCTTCTCCTCTTTCCTTCACACTTTCCCAACATCAGGATCTTTTCCAGGGAGTCTTCTCTTCTCATGAGATGGCCAAAGTACTGGAGCCTCAGCTGCAGGATCTGTCCTTCCAGTGAGCACTCAGGGTTGATTTCCTTCAGAATGGATAGGCTTGTTCTCCTTGCAGTCCAGGGAAACCCAAATCCCTCAAAGCAAAAATAAAATAAAAATATCCGGACAACAGATCAACTCCCCCTTCTCAATCAGAAAATGGGCACAGTGATGTGTCCTCTTTGTATTTTAAATCCCACCCACACAAAGACAAGTGGTAAGCTCCATTGTTGGACATCCTAAAAAGAAAAAAAAATGGAGCAACTCTGGCTTAGCTAAAGTTATAGATCTTCCCCATCTCCAGACATGGGTCACCTGGATGAGACTAGGAAAGGTTAGGTAAGTGCAGAAAAAAAACTGTGCTGCAAACATCTCATCTGCATATGTCAAAGTGTATGCATCTTTTCAGCTCATTCACATTACTAGTGATGCTCTGTATACGGAGTGCCCCATGGAACTGTGGCATGAGACCCTGAGCTCCAGAGCACATCCAGAGAGCTGCCTTGTGGGCCACCACCCTGAGCAGTCAGACACTCATAGAGCACTTTCCTGACTCCAAGGGCATCTCAAGGTATCTCTGTAGTTATGAGCTACAAAAATACTGTGCTCTTTACCAGACATACTACGTACATTCAGAGTTTGACCACTGCCCTGCAGATTACACAGAGTCTGTTTCATGACTTCCTGAAGGAGCTCCCCTGTTGCAAGATATATAAAATGCTAAACACACACAAAAAGCATCAAGTCACAGAAGCAGAAGCAAGTGAAAAACTGGGTCAAATGCTGATATTCTAAATCTACACCAGACATCAGCAAATTTCATTTGGCATAGAGACATGCACAAAACAGCCATGAAGCTACTAAAATACGGGCAGATAAATTGGAGTTTTGCGTATACATATATGAATTACAATCCTTTCAGGAAAGTTTGCCGCTTTCCAAGAGCCTTTACTAAGAGACAGAACAGGGCTTCTGCTACATTCCTCCTTCACCTTTGTTTTTCTTAACTCATTAGGCGGTGGGCCCTTCACTGTATCAAAATTTAGCAAAAGGAAGCTTCCGTGGGAGCTTCCACTACAACCTTAAAGACATGTTTCCTTTTAATTTGGTTACCTGATAAGAAAAAGAGAGATTAATGTAGCCTTAAATCAATGGCGCACAGTGTCTGTGAAGCAGCTGAGCAGATGTTTATTGTCCCCCTCAGAGCAGAAGGTTATTCCAGTCTCTCTGTAATTTTTCAAACTGCTCTGAACAAGGGGTTGGATTCAGCTCCTGTCATATTTAGGAGTAAACTTGCTGGAATCAGTGGGGCTTAATTTAGTCTTCAGATGCCTGTTTATTTCCCAGAAGATGATATTATGGATCATATAGTGCAATTTTTGTGGTTACGAGGCCATTATCCATTAAGCCAACTACTTTCTATGTATCTTTTAAGACCAGTGGTTAGGGTTCAGTAGCTACATTCCCTAGTTTGTTTGTTTGCTTGTTTATTTTATATACTGCCCCATAGTGTAACACACTCTTTGGGTAGTTTACACCAAACCATACAAATAAAGAATAAATGCAAAGCAATATATAAATCAACAAACAAATCAAAATACAAGGCTAAATTGAGCCCCTCCTTTGCCCTTTGGATTTGCTCCGAGTCTTCCCTTCTGCACAGAAACATTTGAAAAGACAAAGAAAGAAAGCAACATGGCAATGTCTTGCATTTTAAAAACTAAACTTGATGACTCAGATCTCTGCTAGTCCTCCAAAGTATGCAAATAATGTTCATCCACAATGATCAGGTTTCTTTTTTTTTCTTTCTTTTTTAGTTTAATTTATATTTATTTTCAATGGGAATAGGATTTGGGATAGTGGGCTGGGGGAGTGGACATGGGTAGGGGAAGGGTAAAAATCCAGACAGGGTACTTTGACATCCACATATACAATTCTACTAGATTTTTTTTTAAGAACAACTTAACAGGTTTTACCAGAATTACTGTAGTTAATAATCTCTTCGTTCCCTGACTGGACCTTCACATTCTTCTTTAATCTATGCTTTCCATATTTCAAGTCCAACTATAACATCATTCCAAAATTTTGCATCCTTTTTAAGATAACCACATTCCTGTTGTCTTCCAGTTTTTCCCACATTATAGCTGCAGTCATTACGTGTATTTCCTAGCAGACTGTCCTTTTGCCCCTACATTGGGGACCTCAAAACTGAGGGGTCCTGGTCAGTTTCAGGAGCTCTCCCGAAACTCTACCAGTCTTGCTGTGATAAAAACCCCGCCTCTCCGTAATGATCAGGTTTCTTGAATGGGGGTGGGGAGGATCCATTTAAGCTTGAAAACTAGTTTTCTGCCACTATCAAGGCAATGGAGTTGGCAAATTGCTTTATTTTAAACACTGCTGTAGTACAATTCCTTGAACAGGCATTAGCAGTAGTTCACATATTATCAGCGTTTCCTCTTGAATTGCTTACCAGCAGGCAAGTTACATAATCCTCTTATATTATTCATAATTTATGTAATTTGTGCATCAAAAAGATACATTGGGATGGGATGCTTTTAGAGCATATTCCAAACTGAAGGCATCTGAGAACTTTTCTACATGTAGCCATCAGGCATCAACAATACTTTTTAAAAAAATGTTCAAAGACATTTATGCATCTGAAACCACAGTGGTAGATGTAGCCTAGGATGCATGGTCCATCACAGATAAAAATACCATTTGCCTTACAATGGAAACATATGATTTATGATAACCTGCAGGACAGCTGCTGACTTACAGGAGAAGCAACTGCTGCCTGAAAACCACTTCCATTACATTACATTCAAAGCAAAGCAAAGCAAAAAACAAAAGAAATAAAGAAATAAAGCCTACATTCATAGGCTTTATTTCTACATAATTTGCTCAATTGCAGCCACAAGAATGGAACTGCTTCCACTGAAAAGCAGGGGCACTTATGCCAACATGACATTAAATACATTGAAAATTAAGCACAACTGGATTGAAGTGATGCAGGATACATTCATAGGCTTTATTTCTACATAATTTGCAGCCACAAGAATGGAGCTGCTTCCATTGAAAAGCAGGGGCACTTATGCCAACATAACATTAAATACATTGAAGATTAAGCACAACTGGATCGAAGTGATGCAGGATGTCTTCTGCCTGTGTGCTGTTGCATCTGCAGTGCCTGATTCACAGCTCACCACTTGATGTTGCAGGCTTGATGTGGAAGGCCTGCCTTCTGTTCTTGGCTTCTTGAAAACATTTGCCTTTGCCGTGTCCCTGTCTTTTTCTTCTTTGAAAACAGGAAAACAGCGCTTGATCGTTACAGCCTTGAGAAAGCGGGCTTCACCCACATCCTGAATGCAGCCCATGGTCGGTGGAATGTCGACACAGGACCAGAATACTACAGGGACATGGCCATTGAGTACTATGGGGTGGAAGCAGATGATCTACCCACCTTTGATCTTAGCCAGTTCTTCTACTCTGCTGCCAAGTTCATTGACAAAGCGCTCCAGAATGAGACAAGTAAGGAATATGAGCTGCAAGTTCAGAGAAGTTCAGATCTAAGCTGCACATGCTGTTAAGCTGGGTAGTTGACAGAGTTGGAGCACAGTGGTTGAAAGTCTGACTCCCCACGGTGCCTCCCATGAGAGGCATTGCTAGAAGGAAAGACTGGTATACCAGAACTGAATATTTTATACTTAGAAAACCCTTGGAGGAGTCGCTGTAAGTCAGAATTAATTATGGCACATAATTATGATTGCTAAGCTGTATAGACCTTCTCAGCCCAAGATTCTTATTATGTGATCAGTGGAATCAGTAGAAAAAAATCTCTCGTGCATTTAGTGTCATATCCCATTTAAATGCAGGGCTGATATACATTCTACCATCAGTTGTACAAGGGATAGCTGTCTTAGTCTGTGCAAGCACTGTAGGTAAAAGCATAAATAGAAATAAAAAGTAAAAAATGACAAAAACATGGTGGCACCTTAAAGACTAACTTTTATCTTTTTTAATGTGAGCTTCTGTGGACAAGTCTTATAAAGTGGAGTTGTCCATGAAAGCTCACATTAAAAAAAGAAAAAAGTTAGTCTTTAAAGTGCCACCACATTTTTAAACGTTTTATTTTTATTTTTAATTTTTATTTCTATTTTGCTTTTACCTATACTTCTAACAGCAACAGAAGTACATCTGTGTGCATATACAGCTTTTCTGTCATCTCATAACATCTACAGCCTGTCCCAACTAACAATGGAGATAAAATAGCTGGGGTTTTTTTCCCCTAAGCTTTTGGCAAAGCTCCCCCATAGGCACAAGCTCTGGTACCTCTCTTCTTCCGAGCTAAACACCTGGTCAACTTCTTTAAAATGGAATCTAAACTCATTTCAGTACTGCCGTTACTTCTTGCATTTGGTTGCATCCGTCTGCTTTTATTGGTGTGCATGTCAAATGCACAGTATTATTTGGTTCTCCTCATGGACTCACAGGAGAGACCCATCACCTGTTGGGAGCATCCCGTCACCTGTAAATACAGAGAAGTGGGGTGTGCATGCTTGCCACCTATTACGTAAGCCTTACATAAAGCAACATCACTGTCGTCCTTGGGAAAGCAGCTCTTTGTTTGAAAAGGACCCCAAAGGTTGACTCATTGGTCAAGTTTAAGCCTGTAGGCATGCTAACATGCCCACAACAGGGATTCAATCTATTTTTTTAAAAAAGTAGGATATTATGGATGTTTAATAATGCTCACATTATAAAATATGAAGCTTTCTTCTTGGAATAGAAAAATTATAATTACAAATAGAAAAGAAAACTGGGATCACTCATGCCTTCCACCACCCCAAGAGATACTCTTCCAAAGTCCACTTGCTGGAGCTACTGAGACCTGTCCTTGGTTCCGAGTGAGATTTCCTGGTAGGGATGGGCCGTCTTCTGTTAGAACCTCTTCAAGTAAGGCAAAAAGTCAGGGCCAACATCAGCCTCATAATCATGTCCTGCCCGGGGGGTGGGTGGGTTGAAAACCTGCCGCCAACCCAAATAATATACAGTATAGTGTACTAAATTGGAAATAAGCCAATATGAAAATGGGGGATACTTCTGCTTGTTCTGGACCCCCTCTAAATTTATTAATCCTTTTACTCCACTTTCAATTCTAAGCCCTCTCCCCTTCTCCCTGTGAACCAAAGGAAGGGGTTTACTCTCCAGCCTGGGCAATGGTGTGGGATTAGGGCAGTTATCATTCAAAATACCCAGAAGACCAAAGATTCCCCATCACTTTAGACCACACAAACATAGCTAGGCTATCAGTAGCAGAGGTGATGTTCTGGCTGAGGGAATAAAAGTTTCTCTCTCCCTCCTTGACTCCTGGAACACCTCATGGCAACAACCAGGTCTCAAGGTCTCAGTCTGTGCCTCACACTGTCCCATTGGAAGTGCCAAGAAATGCCTCACAAGTCACAGAGATTGCAGTGGGCAGCTTGGACAGACAGACAGACAGAGAACACAATGTCTGAGACTTCCATGCATGAGCAGCAATTAACTTCCCATTTGTTGTTGTAGGGATAGAAAAGAAGAAAAGCTAGAAACTGGCTATAAAGAAGGATGATTGAGCAAGCATGTCTTCTGCAGCTCCAGAGGCTAGTGACCAAACAAACGGATCTGAATTTAAAGAAAGTAGATTTTGAATTCACAATAGGAAGAATTTGTTAACAGTAAAAGCCACTCAGTCATGGAATGGGCTACCTGGGAATGTGGTGGACTCTCATTCACAGGAGTTTTTTAAATGAAGTCTGGATGGCCATCTATAAATATATATAATGATGTGTCCATGGAAACAGCTGACTGGATAGCTCAGTGGTTTAGGTATCTGCCTGTGGAGCCAGAGTTTGGAAGTTTGTTCCCCACTTTGCTTGCTGAGAGAAAAGGTAGTCTGTGTGATCTTGGGCAAGCTGGCCAGCCCCAGGGCACCCACAGAAAGGAATGGTAAATGGCTTCTGCATATTTTTTAACCTAGAAAACCCTGGAAATTGACTTAACGGCAGACAAATATTATTATCTATGAAAATATATACAGTATAACAGAGGACTGCCTAAGCTTCATGGTCTATCAAAATGGTTACACTGTCGTGTATAGCCTAGTTAGATTGCTCAGGATTATCACAGATGTATCACAAGCCAAAGAACATAGGGGTGCTGGTTTACAGTGGGGCCCAAATTGTGCTGGGCTCCAGGCCTTGATGTAGTCCATGGGTTAAGCTAATGTTCGAGGTGATCAGAAGTGGGCATCTGGGGATCCTAAGGAAGCCCTGGAATTTTCTCCCTCCCCATCTCAAATGCTGACAGTTTTTAGCTAATTGTCTAGCAAACGTGGGTTTCCTCACTACCAACTATCCCTGTGCTTTCAACCCACATTTATTTCTAACTACACCCAGAAATCACGTTGACAGCAAAGTCGTGGAAACATTAAAGTGTCTGTGGAATCACAGCTTGATTGTTACAGCTCATTACACACTGACCTTCAGCATTGCCCTGGTTCAAACCCGAGAAGTTTAAAATAATAAAAAATTGCTATAGCATTGGCTGGGTTTTAACTTCTTATTCCTCATTTTCCACAAAATAAGCTCCACATTAAAACCCAGCAGAGGAATGCAAGATGTCACCTGTTGACCCACAAAGCCTTCAGAATCACAGGGCCACTTATCAAGTTGCCAACCCTTGATCCAACCGTTGTTTAGATTGACTGCTTCCCTCCAAAATGGATGGGCCTTTAAGGTCCTTCCACTTTCACCAACTGCAGTCTAGCACTATAAATTATTCTCTTGTTAGGGCTGCAAGGGAAAGGATGTTGGCTTCAATAAATAAATACTTAAATAAAAACTAAATCAGTATCTTTTTCTTTTTTCTTTCAAGCTTTATGCCGAGATAATAGCATGCTCTGTGCTAATAACAATGCACCTGCAAATCAATTTTGAGTTATGCTGTCCATTCCCAGGGTATCCAGTGTAGCAAGTACTCAGAAATATTTTACAAGTCCCTCCTTTGGGTGGGTGTTCCTGAATCATGCAGCTTGCTAAAGGCAGCACTAGGTAGCAGAGCATCAACTCAATCAACTAAGCACATGCTCTGGGTGGGTTTAGGTGGTGCCTCTCATGGGAAGTGTGGTGGGAAACTGAACTCCCAAGCCAGGGTTCCACAGGCACTCCAACCCACTGAGCTTTACTAGGTCTCATGTGCTGTACAGATGTATAGTGAATATGCATTTTCCCCTACATACCCATCTGGCAAAAATGGGAAACTGTGTACTGCAAAGCAGAGCAGTTGGAGCCAGGTTTAGAACTTGTTTTTGCTGTTGATTCCATAGTATATAACTGCAAATTCTTCACATTAATCATCAAATGAACCACAATCAACAATTCCTCTTCTAGTGGCTAGGAGCATGTACTTATGATTTTGCCAGATTATTCCTGAAGGAGGTCCTCCACATTGGCTTAGTTAGGTGCACATTCTGGTTTGTAGCCCTTCTCTGGCAAAATACCATAGCAGCTAACACAATACGTACCATCGGGAAATGAAACCTGTGAAGGTGTGAATCTCTTTACAGTCTTCTTTTGTCACATGCTTCACATGCCTTATCATTAACATCTTTGTGGTAGATAGCAGGTGATATAAGCTGATTTAAAAGTATTTTTTGCCTGAAAACCAGAATATAAATATTAAAAAAATACTGGTCATTCTCCTTCAGCATGCATCATTGCCTTTTATGTCACTTAATTTCCTACTAGTGGGAATGAAATAGAAAAGAGGCAGCAATTTACTGGATGTAATATAAAATGGAAGCTGGCTGGATAGCTAAGTGTTTAGGCATCTGGCTGCAGAGCCAGAGGTTGGGGAGTTCAGTCAACCATTGTGCTTCCTGCAAGTAGAGCCAGCCTGTGTGGCCGTGGCCAAGCTACATAGTCCCAGGGCAGCCCCAGAAGGTAAACCATTTATATTCTCTACTTTAAAAAACCCTGGAAAGGGATTATTATTNNNNTACTACTACTACTACTACTACTACTACTACTACTACTACTACAGTGGTGCCTCACAAGACGAGCGCTTCATTTTACGACGAAATTGCATACGACAAAGTTTTTGCGATCGCAAAAGTGATTGCAAAACGATGTTTCCTATGGGTTTTTTCACTTTGCCATGATCGGTTCCCTGCTTTGCTAACCGATTATCGCAAAACGACGATTTTCGCATAGCTGATTGGCGGTTTCAAAATGGCCACCGGGTAAAAAAAAATGGCAACCTGCTGTTTTCTGGGAGGGATTCCTCGCTGCACGGGCAGTGAAAATGGCCCCGCTATGGAGGATCTTCGCTGGATGGTGAGTTTCAAGCCCATAGGAACGCATTAATCGGGTTTTAATGCGTTTCTATGGGCTTTTAAAAATCGCTTTACGATGTTTTCACTCTACAGCGATTTTGCTGGAACGAATTAACATCGTAATGCGAGGCACCACTGTATTATTATTATTATTATTAGGCAGTATCTTTAGGATTAATATTTGGAGGTCATTCTGCTCTCTATTGAATATAAGCCCCTAAAGCTTGTATGCAATATGACTTACCTCTAACTTTCCTTACAAATCATGGTAAAAATTTGCTTTATTTGACCAAGCATGGATTTTTACCATTGGAAAAATGCATGCTCAGGGCTTAGTCTTGTGTGCATTTACTGGTAAGTGAATTGTATTCTGTTCAGTAGCACTTACTTCCTTGTATCTGTGAATCAAAATGCAGTCTAAATGATCTGAGGGGATAAATTCTTGCGCATACATCTGTTAAAAAGGACTAACACGGGAAATGAAACATAGTCTTTTTTGTCACTGTAACACAAAGGGGTTTATCATTTGAGCCTATGCACGGGCACTCAAAGCAAGTTGTAGAAAATTCAACAATTTGGATTTATATTGTCGACAGGAACCTGTCCTAGGCTGAACTGATTTCCCAACAGTTAGTCTGATTCTGAGAGAATTACTGTAGTGCTGATCATTCGTGAGCATCAGCACAGTACTAACTTGTCATTTCTCCAGAGGATTTATTTATCCCCTGGTATGCCTGATACAGAACCTGCATGGTTTTCTTCCTTTTCTCTTCACTTCCACAGACAAGCTCTTGGTCCACTGTGCCATGGGGCGCAGCCGCTCAGCTGCCCTTGTCCTGGCTTACCTGATGATCTACAAGAATATGACAGTGGTTGATGCCATCGATCAGGTGCTCAAACACAGGTGCATTCTCCCAAACCGAGGTTTCCTGAAACAGCTAAGAGAACTGGACATAAAGCTGGCCCTGGAGAGGAGAAACATCGCCAATGGGGTGGACTCTGCCAACAAACAGGATGCCAGCACCGAAACAGAGATTTAACATTCCCTCTTTCCCAAAACACAAGCAGCTAAGAACCAGAAAGTCTGAACAATAAGGCCCATGGAGTTGTTTGTTTCTAAGTAATTGGTGTGTGTGTGTGTGTGTGTGTGTGTGTGTGTGTGTGTGGGTGG